AAGACGCTGCTCGGGTTGCTGGCCGGCGACCGCCCTGCTCCGCAAGTTCTCTCCCCGTGGATGACACGCTGGTTTGTTTTCCTTGCTTCCTATGAGTACCAGCTGAACCATCGCCCAGGAAAGCAGATCGCCCATGCCGATGCACTCAGGTGTTGCCCCCTGCCGGAGGCCCCCGAAGACCCTGCTGCTGCCGCCCCAGTATTCCTGATTGACGACCTCAACTTGCCAACTTCTGCCGCCGACATCGCCCGGTTGTCCGCAAGGGATCAGGTAATTTCCCGGGTGCTAGACTGGGTTAGGCGAGGGTGGCCAAAAGACCCCGTGGATCCTGTTTTCCTGCCCTTCAAGTCCCGCCTGGCTGAGCTGTCCGTGCAGTGCGGCTGCCTGCTCTGGGGCCACCGCGTAGTGGTGCCGGCCTCCCTGAGGACTACCGTCCTGCAGCTACTACATAATGCCCACCAGCATCGTCCGGATGAAGGCCCTGAGCCATAGTTATGTATGGTGGCCTAAACTTGACCAGGACATAGCAGCCCATGTCGCGGGGTGCCCAAAATGCCAGAGCGCCCAGGCTTTGCCACCCAAAGCCGAGCCCCGTACTTGGGAACCGCCATCCTCACCCTGGTCCCGGGTGCACGTTGACTTCGCGGGCCCCATTCAGGGCCGCATGCTTTTCATTGCCGTGGACGCCTTCTCGAAATGGGTTGAGGTCGTCCACATGCCATCCACTACTGCCGATGCACTCATCGCGACCCTCCACCACCTTTTTGCCACTGACGGCCTTCCCGACGTGCTGGTGTCCGATAACGGACCACAGTTAACGTCCGCACCACTGATAATGATTTCCACTTTGATTTTTAAGCATGTGAATTTCATTGGAAAAAAATTCAAACAGGCTGATCAACCAAATTGGATCAAGCAATTTTTCAATTGACAAATTATCCAGATATTTCCCATGGTGGGTAGTGTCACTTAAAACAATAAAGAATAACTTTAGTGCTTTGTAATGCTTCCATCAAAAATCTATGACAGGGCTATATATCAGGCACAAGCAACAAGATGTAGTGTTCAAGCTAACTACTATATTACATTCTGCCTATTATTCAGAATCTCCTCAAATTGCTTGCCTTCTCTTGGGAACGGACAGATAAGATGGGTTAATTTTCTTCATTGAGGATATATTATTTTAATTGCACCATATTTCCCTGTCCTGTCTTCCGACTGGTTTTTCTATGTTTTGCAAACCAGATGGAATGTTTTCTATGGTTACATTTCTCTATGACTAATCCAGGAGAAATTGGTTTTTCTCCGAATCCAGATTGCACAGTTTCACTTTAGCCAAATAATTTGATCCAGATAATTGGAAAGGCAATTTCAAAAACTGATTGGGGAATGCCAGTGCTTCTATGCCCCCAAAACTGACTCGGAAGCTCGGTCTTCTAAAAATAGCCTTATAGTTTCTGGATATTTGGGCTTCACCTGCTTGTTAGGCTGTTGTCTCCATGATGGATTCACTTCTCTTTTGATTATCAAATCAGAAGCCTTCTCCTTCCCTTACTTATTTACAAAATGTGGTGGCCATTTATGACAGCACAGTAAGCACTCAATAACAACAGTGCTATTCATCACACATTAGTTTGAGTGTTTTCTGTTTTTATTTACAGTTCTGTAAATCCTATGGCCTGGTAGCTAACTTATTTCAGCAAAACCACTAATGGAGAAAAGCTGAACAACATGGTCAGAATACACTTGCTTTCATTAAGTTTGCAATATATTTAATAATATTAATATGTCTAGCTTTTCAGCCAGGGCCTCCAATGGAACACACCGAAGTATAATCCATACAGTGATAAAATACAATTACACAATGTATTTATTTGTAAATATAGCTTTATTAAACATGTAGGTGGTTAACAAAGATAATGTATTTTTTAATGTAATATTTTGGCCTGAAATAGGCAAAATATATGCTTTTGAGAAAAAGATTGTTCTGAAAACTCAAATCCTTGTTTCTAAAATCATTTCCAATGTTTTTATTTGTTTCAGAAATTGATGGGTGTTAAATTTTTGGTCTGTGCATTTTAGCAAATAGTTGATGTGAAATAATGTGGGAATGTGCAGCTATCACTTCTTAATTTTTGTTATACTGTGATATGTTGTTAATGCTAATGGTGGAACAAGTTGTTAATGCTAATGGTGGAACTATTAAGGAGAGCTATGATTGTTCTCCAAATATCTGAAATGTTGCAACGCAGAGATGTGAGAGCAGAATAATTTTTCTTTGTTTCATAGGGCAAGATTAAAACCATAAAACTTTAAATTGCAGGGAAGTAGAAACAAAGATTGTAAGGATTTCCAAAAGCAAGTGTTGCTTGATAGCACAATGGTGTGTCTTAGATGTTGAATTCTTGGTTAATTAGGAGTTTTTGATGTCTTACCCAGTTGCCTAAATCAAACCTATTTATTTTATGATTACTGTCCATCGAGTAAATTCAAAAGTTGGGTAATTCAGTAATTAGGTTGTATGTTATGTGATTAGGAGACTCAGGAGACAACAGAGACTCATGAACTCTTTGTTACTCAATTGAGTAACTTCAATGTGGAACATATAGTCTCAATTATGCCCTCTCTCTTTAAAATATGCTCCCCCCAAGAAGGGCAGAAGTCTTCAATCCTGTTTGCTTCTCACAAACACTGAAGATAATTATTTTTAAATTTACTTTTTTAGACACATTATATATGTGTTCTTAGTTCGTTAATTGGCACTGTATTGTATATTCTGATCTTTTTGTACCCACACAGAATCTATATAAATATCAGGAAGGGAAGAGATAGCTCAGATGGCAGTGATTCCGTCCCTGGTTTTCATTCACCATCATGAACATATTAGATTAATGCTTAAGGTCCTTCAATGGCTTCCGGTTATCTTCTGGGTATAAATTAGAGTATGGAGTTATATATAAAACGATATGCTTTGGCACGAAACCACTTGCAAGGTTGCCCCCTTTTTTGTTATTGATTCACCTAACCTGTGTATCACAGGAGAAACTTTTGGTGGCCCATTTCCCACTTCCATGAATTCTGGTAAACTGATCTCACAGTGCTGTTTTTCCGGGTCTTTGCCTGTATTATGGAACACACATACCCCTCTGTAAATCAGATTTGCCCTCACCTAATCATCCTTCAGAGAAAAATATTATAGAGTTTGGATGATTTATAGAGGACATCCTTGACAGTGTGATTAGTCATTAGCATTCTTATTTTTATCTTTGTGATTTTATGAGTTATATTTTTATTGTGAACATTATCATGTATGATATTTGCTGTAAACTGCTAAGACTGATTGAGGAGCTTGTCAATTTAATACGTATATAAGGGGAATGTGGGCATTAGTAAGCAACATATCCAGGCTACAATCTGATAATCAAGACTTTTGGGATCAGCAGTAGTAGGGATCTGAAGTTTGAAGTACACATGAGAAGGTCTACGGAGATTCTCAATCAACCAGGTCATATCGTAGTTGTCCCAAACAGGCTTTTTCCAAAGGCAACTGGACTTTGGGGTTTTTTTCTTGAAAACATTTCATTTCTCAGCCAAGAAGCTTCTTCAGTTCTCAAGAAGCTTCTTGGAGGCAAAGTGAAATGTTTTCAAAGGAAAAACCCAAGAAAGACCAACTGCCTTTTGGGAAAAGCACCTTTGGGATACAGATGAGAATGTTGTTTCAACAACCTGCTTAGGAAGTTGGGCTCTTTAAGTTCCTGAGAGCCCAATCTCACACTAGCTCAAATGGCACTGAGGTCAATTGATGTCCTTATATCTGTAGCATGAAGATGGCCTCATTGTTTTTTAGGATGAAACTTTGAAGTTACTAAGGTTTTTCTGTTTCTTCCTTCTCCCGTGTTTGATTATCTCCAAAAGATTCTGTGATCTCTATTTTCTCATCCTTTGAGCTGGTTATTACAAGGACATATTGTCTGGACAAGGAGTTTCCATACAAGCATCATGTGTTAGGGTTGGGGTATATATGCTTCAACAGCACGTCGGCCACAATCAGGTTTTGAAGGCTAGAGTTGGAAAACAAGACCATTTCTACAGATCTTTCATGCTAATGCTCCCCTTCCTCAATGGCAGATACTGGATGGGACAGAACCTTATCATATAACTGCTGAAGCCTTACCGACCAAGAACTTTGGCTAGACACACAAAGGCAGTGGCAAGACATGAAGTCATAGTTACTACTGTTCAACTTGAATATGAGATAGGATTTTACTGCTTTACTCATCCTAAGAAACTCTGCTTCTCGGACTAGCCTGGAAATAAGGTTTTATAAGGCCTAGAGCAGTGTTTCTCAACCTTGGTGACTTTAAGTCCTGTGGACTTCAAGCGTAGCTGGCTGGGGAATTCTGGGAGTTGAAGTCCACAGGACTTAAAGTCACCAAGGTTGAGAAACACTGGCCTAGAGAGAGA